TTGTTGTCGTTGTCGGTGTTTCACGACCGACGGCGGACGTGGAGACAAAGCGCTGGCCGGCCACGAAGGCCCGGGAAGCTGGCGGCGTGATTAATTCCGACGGAGGAAGGAGATTTTGACCCCGAACGGAAAAGTATTCCTAAGATCCTGATTTATTTTTGGACCACAAAGCTGGTATTAATTACGGCGGCGCAGGTGCGGGCCCCAATTTTTCTTCCCAGCTGTGGCCCGCTTTGATGCCGCGGGCAGTGGCTTGGGCAGCGGTGGTGCGCTGCAGGGGCTGGCATCTGGGTGGCGCTCACGCTCACGCGGACATCCTCCTGCCCCATGGTGAAGGATGGTGCCTCTGGATTTAGAAAAAACACAGCGACTGTGTGTCTAGGTCCCCTCCCCCTTTCTGGCTGCCCTCGCTCCCTGGCTCCATAAAGAAATGTCCCTATAGAAACATTCCTTTCATGTTCTTTTGTCTCAGAGCATGGTGGAAGTGTTTTTCAAAGTCGGAGCATGAAAAAGACGTACCGTGCATCTGGGGGGGGGGGGGCCTGAGGGAGGTGGCTGTCCCACCATCCCTTTTCCAGCCATCCAGGAAACCTTCATAATCCTCGTCACACAACATAAGGCAGAGGACTTCCGGGTCGCTCATGGTAGGGGGAAACGGGGTCAGATTGCTGAGATGAATCTGAATATCAATGATCCATTTCGAGTCAAGCCTGGGCCACGGTCAATTTGGTCAGGGAGGAAGAGAGAGGTGTTATACAGCAGGTTGCAAGAGGTTTCATATCACATTAATTTGGTTAAACCACAGAGGGGACTTGAACCAACAACCTTATAGCTTCAGTTCTGTAACTGATGAAATTACACGAATAACTCTGATTCCTCAAGCGAGGCCCATGTGATGGTTTGGGCACATGCAGCTGGGTGCTCACAGCATCACATCCCTTTCAGGTTAAATACAACCAATTTGACCAAAGTCCCATGTCAAGCCCCTGAACGCACCTTAGCTGTAGAACACCATCTCACTTATGCACTGATGGGGGTTGTTACACACTTCACCCACTATGGGAATTTCACCCATTTTTTATACTAAGAATGGATGGAGAATTCACACCAAATAATGCTTATTTTATTTTTGTCTTCTGTTTTGTTCAAAAATCTGACTACTCTATTTGTTCTTTTTAATCATTAAGGACTCAAGGGACAGAACAAACCAGAAAACTGCAGGAAGAGCTGTTTTTAAAAGTCAGGTACATCAACAGAGGACTTGGAAAATCTGGCCGCTGCACTTTGAGACGTGACACTTGCTGACAATTTCCAAGCTGAAGCCTTTCTGCTCTCTGCAGACAAAAACCACACACACCTGGAAGTGAAAGTTTTCAGCAACCAAAGGGGCTTGTGCACTCTGAAATTCCCTGCAGACAGGCCCGTCTGGTGAACTATTCAGGGCAGAATTCCCGAAGGAAAAGAGCGTCTGGGATTTTGGCAATCTCAGATTTGTTGGGTTCTCCACGTCATATTGGGCAGGAGGAGTGTACACCGCGCAGAGACTGACCCAAAAGAGCCGTCACCCATAAAACAGACTGAGAGGGACAGATCAGGGTGCAGGGAGGGGCAGGCCCGGAACGAACCGTGAAAAATAAACAGCGATCCAGCCGATCGTGGGATGGTAATTGTTCTGGGAATTTAAAGAAGTAGGCAGAGTGTGGGAAAATGCCAGCAATAAATTACCACCATTATTGCCCTCGGTTTGTGCCTGCAGGAGACAGACCAGGCCGCGGGGTCGACTGCCTCGACCGTACATGGTCGAACACAGTCCGGGTCACCCAGGTCTCGTCAACTTTGACCGTTTCATTTCACCAGCCCAGGCTAAAATAACACAGCTGACCTCTGCTATCACCTTTGAGACAACATCTGAAAATAAAGTTTATTTATTTAGCTTGGCTACAGGGCTGTAGATTGGCTGAGTCTTGGCTGGGTTGGCGTTCAAATGAGGTTAGCAGTCAGATTAACGGCCTGAAAATCACGCGCACGGCATGGATTTGCAGACGGGCACCGGGAAGAGATCCTCTTCCACTGCGACCGGCCTCATTATGGGGCAAATTAGCACCCTGCATAGCCCTGATTAACCCCCTCCCTGAGCGGGCACAGCAGGCTGCCCCCTGCCCCCCCCACACCGTTGTCTCTTCATTCCTGTGACAGCGCCCTCGTTTCGCCGTTACAAATTGCCGGCGGGTCCCTCCAGCGCACAACGCAGGCTGCGACCCTATCACTGCCGCTCTGTCGCCCTCATTTATTACTCACTTTGTTTGTGCTCTTATCCACGGCCTTGTCCGTCCTGCCCATCCATCATCCACGTGCCTCGCTGTTGCCCACCCCCCTGTGCCCCCTCCTCAGCTCCTTCCTCTCTTCAGCCCCACCGACACCTTGCCCTCACAAGCCCCCTCCTCCAGGAGAGACACACTGTCACAGTAACAATCATCGACGGTCCCACCCCCCATTACTGGACCTTCAGCACGTTCACTGACTCTCCGACTCCCCCCCGGCGTGAAGAACTCACAGGGAATCGCTATTTAACCATCACAAGATAACTATTTTACATGTGTTCGCAAGCATGCAGTTATATATGTATGCATCTTTAACTATGACAGGAATTGGAGTGTAGCCATTGTTTGGCTCAGTGAGTTAGGACTACATATCTATGATCAGAATGTTGTCAGTTTGAATCCCAGGGCCCTAACCTTTATGTCTGTGTATGTCTCACAAGAGAGCTCATACTTCTACAAATTGCAAATTAAGCTTCATTTCAGTTGAAGTGTCATAACAAATAAGGAACTTGGACAGAGGTTCGAATTCCCCGCTGCAGCAACATAGAGGACCCTGGATTTCTTCGGAAAAACGTCCACAGAAGCCGGATGGATGGGCGACACTTTGCACGCAGCATGACGCAGGAAAGGCCGAGAGTCTCACGGCCGCAGCACATGTCATGATGTCACTGTTCCTGCCGTCCGACGTCCAGCATCAAGACAGCGAGCTGGACCGTTTGAGCGCAATACTGCTTCCACTATTGAGATCGATCTGAGGATCGATTCTCATCAATAGCAGCTGGCTTTCAATTGATTCATGACTGGGAAAAACAGCACATCCATCCATCTTCCAACTGCTTATGTGCGACAGAGTTGGGGGAGGAGGGGGCTGGGGTCTATCTCAGGCAGCACGAGGCAGGGGGGTACAACTTGGTTGCGATTTCAGTCCATTCACAGGAACAGACTCTCGTCCGTCACCTTCTGGTATTCATTCACTCACTCATTCATTCCCATTTTCCTGTTTCATGCACCATTGTTTATAAATGATGGTATAATGGTTTGCCACGCACTCTCATCAAGTGTCTTGGGGCAAGTGTGTTGTGAAAGGCGCTATATAAATACATGCACACAGTGGTACCCGAGACGCCAGTCAGTCTAACTGCACGTCTTTGGAATGCGGGTGGATACCTAGGGAAACCTCTGTCACACAGGAAGGTCACGCCAACGCTACACGCACATGGAACACAACCCTGGGATGACAGTCGCCATGCCAACCTAAATTAAAAAAAAATAAACAGAATAAAACAAAGCAAACCACTATACCTCCACAAGAACTAGCATCCAGGAACCCTGTCCAAATGGTGGCAAACAAAAGCAACACACAAAATAAATACCGGGACTAACATCTTATATCCCTAATTCACTAATACACTGAAATAAAAACAGCAAATCTGATACAGTTTAAATTCAAATTCAAAATAAATCAACAAAATATTCCCATTTTCAGTATAATTCTCACATACACATGTAAAACCTCTGCATCTCAAATTAAGTTACACAGATGGCGCGTAAGTATTAATATATTACTGTAATACTTAATGTATGAAGAAATAATGTTCATTCAATAATAGCTGTGTAAGCGATATTAGCTTTGAGTCCAGTTCGCATAATGCTGAATTCATCTGTTTTAGCAGTACCAGAGAAAGAAGACATGCACCAAGAAAAAGATCATTTTCTTAGTAAACTAAGGGTACTTTCACTGATTAAAAGTTTAAAAGTTTCACCTCGAGTTTGCGACAGATTCCATAAAACAAGCCTCAGCATCAACATGACAGACACTGCGGAGTGACATACACATATGGGGCTGTTTTTGCAGAGAGAAAATGGTATTTAAACTGAAATGGGTTTAAAAATAGTGTGGATATATAATCTTCGATTTCCTAAGGTGACCTCCAAACGTACAGGGACCCTGGGCAAGATATGTGGTTATGGATGGATGGATGGATGGATGGATGCACAATCAAAACTGTCTTGCATCAATCATTGTTCCAAACATTCTGAAACAGCTGTCTCTGTACTGTGATGTTCACACAACCCTTTCCGGTTGGTTCTCCCCGGTGCCCCTCGACTCCTCTGCGACGAAAAAGGATCAACATGGCGATAAAGAACTCAGGAAGTCTATTTTTATACAGCATTTGGAGAAATCTGGGGTACGGCAGGAGTCTTTCGCATTACACAGCGATAAACTATTTCCAGGTGTTTGACAGGTAATAAATACCAGTGATTTTACAAAAAAAAAAAAAAAAAACACCTTTAAGGACCTAACTTAATTCATAGCGGTACCTGGGGCGTGGTTAATGGGTCAGTCTGCCATTGGAATTACCCCAGCTGAACTCGCCGGTCCATGGGGGATGGGTCTACGTCAGAAGATGAGGAATCCTAGCACCAATTCACTTGTTATTGGGCTGTCTAGGTGACAAGTATACCTATAGAGTGAGTATTTATTTCCGAAATGTTTTGTTCCGTTTTCTTGCGATGATGAATGTTTCTTTTATAAATCCATCGCTGGCTTTTAAACCATAAACAATATTTCTCTGGGCAAAGATTCCTTGTGCAGCAGTCTTGGGGAACCTTGAGATTTCCTGGGCGTGATTTAATGGCTCATAACTGCTGAGGAGCAATCCTTCACCCAAGCCGGCTCAGCCTCCACACCCAGCCGGACTCTCAGGCCCGGAGAGCAGAGAGTGAACTCCTGGACCAAGCAGATTACCCATGATTCCCTGCAGGAGGTTCCACAACTCTACTCTCAAACAACAGTCTTATCATAGACAATATAAACAATGATCAGGTATTCAGGTATAATAAATTCTTTATTATTAATGATCCACCATGGGTGTTGATCAGATGTTTTTGCACTTGGCCTCGATCAGTGTGTCATTGCGATTATTGTTTATATGATTGTGTAGCATGGTCAAGGAATCAATGCTACTAATCATCTGAAAAGATAGAGGTAAAGAGTTATTATGGACAAATTCAATAACATTACACTTCTGCAGTCATCAGTCCCCTCTCTGTTGAAGAGAATTTGTAGATGCACTGTTCAAACTCCCTTGGGCCCCGCATCTCTGTCAGTCAGTCTTCCAATAAATGTTTCAACCTGGCAGCTGTTGTTTTGGTCGAAATCAAAGCCACAACAGGTTTCTCCAGAATTCGGAATCAGGTCGTCATTCTCTTGGTTTCCAGAAGGATCCCGATCTTGCTCCTCAGGAACATTTGATCCAATCGGCCCATTTTTGTCACCTCTTCACGTGTGTTTGGTTCAGGTTGTCTGCCGATGTTGTCGGGATGATTGTCGGGAGCAGCAGGTCATAATAAAAACTCCGGCCATCATCCCAGTTATGAGTTTCCGGTGTTTTCCAGGGATGAGTGTCAGCCCAGGCCGAGGCCGCCCAGCCCTGCATGCGGGATCGATCTTCAGCAGCCCGAATCCGACTCGCCTTGCTGCCCCAAACAGAAGCTTGTTGATTTGGGAACGAGAGCCACAGTTTAGTGCCGTTAAATTGGTAATAAATACACTCAGTCACCGAAGAAAAAAAAAATCATTAGCTCTCTATCTCTAATTGTGTTTTCCTTCCCCCTCATGCATAATCATACCTTATACCAGTTTCTAATTAACAATGCATGAATTAATTATGCCTTCATAGGATTTCTGCACGGTGAATCCACAAGATAAAACAGATGTCCATTTTCCCCTTTTTTCACAATTTCTGGAGTCCCCCCCCCCCCTTAATTGTATGGTTCCCATGTTACGTCGATGGCAGGATTAATTTCACAATAGATCAGGATTATTGACCTTCTCATCAATGTTACTCTATTTCTTTAAAGTGCTAATTACAGAAAACAGGGGAAGCAAATTGCATTGTAACTTGCTCAGTAGTTTTGCCAATAAGGGAAAAAAAAACATTTATCCATTTTTTTCCAGACATTCTCCGAATAGTATTTTCAGCATTTTAAAGGAATCATATACAGTTACACAGTATGACTGAAATGTGAACTTCCCCGGGACTCATTAACAAACTCTCTACCAAACAGCCCCCCCCCCCAACTGGCTACCCGGAACAATCAAAGGGTCATAAACAATTAACCACATCAGTGACTGACTCACTTGCAGTAACGGCTGATAAACACAAGGGCGGCAGACATGCAATGGACTGGCAACAGACCGGAGCCAGACATGCACGAAGGATGTTAATGGCAGGGGCAATGCTAGGATTTTTTTTTAGGTGGGGGCACAAGAGGGGCCATAATTCATACAGAGGGGGCAACCTTTTCATTAGCCAATGATATGTTTTCAATCAGTGAGTAATAGGGGAGGGGGGCAATCATCTTTCAGCTGGGGCCAGTGACCTCTGTATTTGACCCTGGTCAACAGCCACCAAGGCAGAATGTGAAGGGGTGGATCTACTGGGCGTTCAGAAGGAGAGTGTGCCGGGGATTATGGGAAGGGATCACCCAGGTGACAATACTAGTATAACCAGGGCAATGTTGGTAATAATCCAAACCCTTCCTACCAGGGCTGACTAGAAGTGCAACACGCTAGACGTGACACACCACCCAGCCCGTCTCCGCCCCCCCCCAGCCTGTGTCGCTAATAAACTCAAAGGTCAAACTGCTAGTAAATCTATTAGTGGGGAATGAATCTCTCCAATGTCTTAATGCACTTTTAATTCCTGTTAGCAAAATTTCATCCCCCAGCAGTTTGCAGCCTGCTAATGAGAAATAAAACGAGGGCACTGAGCTGGGGGGTGCTCCAGGGGGGTAGGGGGGTGTGTCTGACAGCCCGCTGCCTTCCTCCCATCCCGGGGTGTTCTTCACGGGCCGGGGCCCGTTTCCAGCTGCCTGACTCTGATGGGTTAATTACAGAGTGAACCTCCATCTGTTTCCAGAGAACGCCGACTCCGGATCCCTTAATCCGTCTCGTTTGGAGACTTCGAGAGGCGTTACGGAGGGCCGGCTGAGGTGGGAACCAGAGGCAAGAGCGACTCTGACAGGCGGGACACACCTCTCTCGTCCCGGAGTAATTAGAGGACAGATTTAGCGAGACAGGAAGTCGTTTGTCAAACGTGGCCAGACGCGGAAACGCAGTGACTTGATTGGCCGGCCACGCGACGAGAGCTTTGGCCGGACACAGACCTACCCTCCCCTAGAACCTAATACCTAATCGCTCAGAGCCCTTCCAGGTTCAACAGACAACAGTTTAGCAGAAAAAAATACGATGTGTAAGCCAGAACATCCAGCTGATTTCCATAACCACTTATCCTGTACGGAATCGTGCCGAGACTTCAGGAAACACGGGCTGTATGGCAGGGGATACACTAAATTGCATGCTAGTCCATCACAGGACACACTCACTCACACACTATGGCCAATTTAGAAACAAAAACTCACCTGTTACTGAGCTTCAGGAGGAAATTTAGTACATAAACCCATGCAAACACAAGAAGGGCAGGATTCAAACCCAAAACCCACTGAGCTCCTGCCAAAATCCAGATTGGGCTGTTACTTAAAACTACAATCTCAAAAAAAAAAAAAACTTATGGTTGTGGAGAAAGTGAACTAGCTTGTACGAGCTATAGCTACTCTGCAATTTAAGCTGCCAACGAGCGTTTCGGGGAACACGCGCAGCCCGCGCGCCGTTAACACTGCAGGGTGTAATCGCGGGCGCGCACGCCGGCCCCCACTCCATTACCAAACAGAGCCTTTTAATCAATAAAGAGATAAAAGATAGTTTAATCAAAGACATATTTCCTTGTTTGCGCGATGCCTCCGCGCACATGATCTTTAAAGTGAAAACGATGCATAATGCACTCCCACCGAGTCACTCATCCATGATAATAAAGAACGGAGCAGTCAGCAGAAAAACACACCCGGCCGGCAGACGCACCACGGCCGCCAGATTGCATTAGGACGTTTATATTAAAGGAAATTGCATCCTGTAAACTGCCCCCCATCCCTTCACCGCTGCCCAGCGGCTATTAGGACCCGGGCTATTTGTCCAACACGCTGCCGGCTAATCGCAACAGCCGAGGCGCGAAATGCGATTACGGGGAAACCCGAGCCAGCTGCGCCCGGGGCCGGCTGAGCTCACTCCCGGCTAACGACCTGCAGGGCGGCAGGATCGGGTTCCTTCCTTCGGGGTTAAACGGCTCTTGACACAGAAGGACGGAGGAAAGCGAGCCAGTGCTTTTCTTTTTTTATTGACTCCCGTACGTGTTATTAACCTCCTTCAGGCTCCTGGAGGCTTTTCCTGTAACGCGGGTCTAAGCCCTACGACTGACTTCCTAGTTTATCTTATCTACCCTTACAATAACGACGTACTGTATAAATACAGAAGGATCCGAATCCATATCTATTGCCTGCCCTCGTAAAACGGTCCTGATGATCTGGATAATTAACTAGAAAGAAAAACCAAGTACACATTAAACACTAAAAAAGATAAAACAGCACAGCTGAAGCTTAGTTGTGCTTCTGAGCCTTGGAATTTGTAGCTTGCATTGAGGAAAAAAATGTCACTTGAGCAACACCTTTTAAAAGCACAACCCATGAAGAGATTTAATTCTCCATTTAGCTGTTGCCAAGTGGCATGTTCATTTAACTTAATTCATGTGATATGCTTATATTAGAAGGTTTTTTTTTAAATAGATATTGAAGATGCCAAGGGTGTAAATTACGAGGGAATGCCCCCCCCCCCCAATAATCAAAACCAGCCACTACAACCCCCTGGACCCCATGGGTGGAGACCTCAACCCTTCACCCCCCCCCAAAATGCTCAACCCAAAGTTATGCTCTTGTGCTATTGTACTTTTTAAATCTAATTTTAATGGCAGTCAAACACCCAGCTATTTGCTGTGAAATGGATGCTGCAACTACATTTTCTGGTCATAAAACAAAGTTCTCCAAGCCGCAATCGGCTGGGTTAAATCCATCTTTCATAACTGTTTAGCCAGTACAGGGACGTGCTGAGTTTGGAGGGTGTCCCAGGAGGCAGAGTGAGCGGCTAGAGATGCCAGTCCATAGGAGGGCACAAACACACACGTTATGCTGATTTGGCTAATCGCAAGTCGTCGGACTGGTTTCAGGAAGTCAGGGCTCCCCAAATAGTTCTGAGTTACAGGGATGACTGTCCTTAAAATGACCCGCAGATATCCATGCGGATGGGTCCGGTTCTGTTGGCTTATGGTTGGCACATTTTCTTCCAGTTGAACCTATAACAAAATTCCACTCTTTGTTTCGCTCACCAGCTGGAGTTTGCACCCTTTAAGGAGGAAAAAAGCTGGCGGATGATCGGGGGAAAGAGTTGACACTTACGCACTGACGTGTTTTCAAATATCTGAATCGCGGCGACACATTTCCATCCGCGCTGCGTCCTTGGAGCAGACAGAGGCGGAATCTATTTGAACTTTAATTGAAGGTACTTAAAATATGGCAGCCACATCACGTCAGCACGCCAGCCGAACGTGTGAATTAGAGATCACAGATTAGTACCCCGGAGGTGCTGACATGGTTACAGCCAACTGATTGACATGAAGCATGAAAAAATATGTAGTGGTAATCTGTTCTTTTTTTTATTATATACTGACTGGCATCTTACCGCTTACTAAATGACAGGGATATATCATGGGTGTTTAAAATGGTTCCCTACTGTCATTTGAAGGTGGATGAGATTTGGGTCTTACTACAGCAGAATGAAAAGGGCAACACCGTAGATTCCATACACCTAAGGGGCTGTATTTTCTAGCAGAATATTCACCCTAAATGGCGAGGGAAACACATTTTACATGTATCACATGTAATAGACGCTTTTAACTAGTGCGGGCAGGAATGGAACTTTGTGGGAGGGACAGGTTGGTTGGACGGTGACTTTACTGACTGCCATTGGTCGAAAGAGGCCGTGATTGACAGCACAGGCTAATTCCAATCTGCTGTGGGTTTCAAAAAAGGGTTTTATTTTAGGCGAGGCTGTTTCAGAATTCACATGCCTACACACGAAAACAAAGATTAAATCGTCTAAATGATTTTAAAAATAAGGTTTAAGGTGAAGGCGTGTACAAAATATAACCTTTGATTTAAGTGAGTGAACGGAGTGAACCGGCGTGTGAGTGACTGGTGTGTGACTGTGCCCTGCGATGGGTTGGCGCCCCATCCTGGGTTGTTCCCTGCCTTGTGCCCTTATCCTCTGGAATAGGCTCCCCCCCCCCGGTTTCAGGAAATGAATGGATGGATGGATGGAAGGAAGGATGGACGAAATTATGATTAATCCACAAATGGCAAAAAATAAAATAGAACAAGCTTCACATCTCCGCTGTTTGTCATTTACAGGCAGAGTAATTTATTTCAGGAAATTTTAACAGTCTTAGAACTTAAAATCCTTCAGTGATTTTATAGCCTGGACCCAAATACCACGCAATGCACCAAAGACGCCAAGTGATACAACACAGAGCATACGACACGACAAAC